AACAATTGGACACTGTAAGAAAACAACACTTTCCATTACCCTACCGACAACATATACCTTTACACCCTGCAATGTTTGTCGGTAGGGAACCGCTTTTTAGTTATAAATCATTGTTAGCGTTTTTAAAAGAAATTCATAGCTTTCATGTCATATACCCGGGCATACCGTAGCATGACCTCTCCAGAGAGGTTTTTTTGCTGCGGTGGCTACACAAGAAAGCACATGCCTCACGGCCCTTGGACGCAAGGGTATGAACGAGTGAGGCACTTGTGCTAATGCCATACATATGCACCATCGTCTTTTATTATCACCAACTTTTGTCATCTATTCACATCACACACACCTTTCACCGCATGGTCATGATTTTATTACTTGTATGTTTTTACCTGCCTTACTGCGAGGAATTTTATGGCCCTTATACAGCCGCTTATCACAATCATTGTCCATAATTTTAGTAAGATGAACTGGCGCTCTTTGGCCGTGAAATGGCCCTTGCGCCATAAAACATCAAACATCATCATCAAGTTTATAGCTACCGTTGACATATATAAAATTATGACTATTTGAAGTAAAAAATTATAAGTTTTTAGTTTTGGTTGTTTGTCCCCTCACCTAGTCACGCTTCAATTGTTCACGGGCGTTGATGCCTGTGGCAATAGGACGACACTTTTCGTTCCGAGTTTCACGACCTATGTAATTTTACCATGCTGCAGCCGTGCACCCTCTTTCTTTACACAGGCATTTGGTTGCCTTCTCTCCTCCGCCCGTGCTGCAGCCTGTAAACCTGCTCCTTTCTCTCTCCCCCATTTCGTGTTCTCGGTCTGCTTCCATTATTGTCGCTTTGCTCCCGTTCAGATGAGCTGTAACTTCGCACTAACAGAAGCAGCGCACAGGCACAACGTAAAGCTAACACAAACACTAAATACAAACCACACACACACACACACACACCAGTGAACATAAACGTCAACTTGGTGTGCACCCCTGATGCTGCTTCGCATCCCCTCATGGTTCCCTGCGATATTTTTTTTTTGTTCTCTGTCACTCTGGGTACCATAATGTAGTCACCGTGGCCAATGGGTAACAAGTATCGACACTGTGCTATGAATGGCCTATTCAGGCAAATTAAGATTCGGCCGTGAAACGTATTGTTTCATGTTTTGTAAAAAAAAAAAAAGTAGATGCCTCTCATTGCGCTGCACAATGTTCTTAGGTATGTCTATCCTAAAGTTTAGCCTAACCTTCTATGTAGAGCACGTCTGGCACGATATAATGCAACTGCTCCTCGCACATGTCCAAGCGCTCGCTGCGTGTCTTGATTGCGAAGTTGGCGAAATGCGGTGGCTAGCCTATGCATATAGAAATTGAGCTGTGAAGTGAGCCACAAACAAAGAACAAGTGCTCTTACACGTCTGTAACGCCGTTAGAACATTCGGTGTTGTCAATCGCAAAAAAAAACTCACAGCTTTGCCGCAAAGGTCAAGCAAAGAATGCGATAGCAACAAATTGGAACGTCACGCGTAGAATGGGAAGCAGATCAAAACGTGCCCCGCGTTGCTCACGTACAAATGATGCACGAAACGTACTCACAGGTACAGATGAACGCACATAAGTGTCTCAGTTATTGCTTCACTGTGTCTGAAAAGCACGCCCTTTTCGTGCATGCTTTTCGTAAACGGAGACTGTGCAGCGAAGGCAGTAATTTTTGTGCGACCGGTTACTACAACAGAATTGTTCCGGTGAAAGCCCAAGGCGTACGATTTTCCCCACCGCGAGATAAGTGCACGTACCTTGCCCCCTCCCCTCCGCCAGGCAAAGTACGCGTCTGAGGTCAACGCATGAGCGCACGTCGCCGCATCGTGATGATCTGGCAATGCCCCTTGATCTTGGGAAAGTACCGCCATCTACGGTACTCGCCGCTGCGCAGGTGCCATCCTCGCCCCTTTTGAATCCTCCCGTTCTCCACTGCTGTTTCTGCGCGGTGATTGGTTTCTTTCACATTTGCCCATGCGTTGTGCTGGTATTTTGTTTTCTTTTTCATTCTTGCCATTTTTCGCTGGGGCTACGCATTGATCGCGTAGCGAACATTGCGCACACTTTTTCTGCCCTGTTTGCTGGCGCTATGCCATGTGTTTGCACCTATAACTGTTGCAACCAGAATACAAATGGCTACCTTTATTTTTTTCTAAATCCAAGGTAACCGTGATAGCCTTCGGAAGCAGCAGTCGCTGGACTACATCGGCTGAAAGAACTTGGTCCTGTTAAAGAACAAGTTCTTTGCGTTACGGTGCTTTTCTTATTGCTCATGGGAAAGCATCCCTGAATGCTGTATTTTAAATATTATTCGTGTCACCTAAACTTAGTTCTTTTTGCAGCTAATTATGTGTTGAATAAAAATGGTATTCTACTGAATATGCTGAATATTCTGCCGAAAGTCCATCAAATTGCACATCGGCAACTGCCATTCAATCTCAAATGAAATACATAAAACTCATGTCCGCAGCGTACAGTTACCTACTATGATACAGCTTCTCGATCGCACTTATCATGATTGTTGAAATCTCTTCAAAATGAGTGCAGTAAAAATAAGTGACTGAATGACTATATTGAGGTGACACTGGCGATGATCACCAAATGAGGTTCTCTTTGCAGGGGCAAAGCTCCTTAGGCCGTGGGTCGAGTATGTAGCCACCTGTAGTTTGAGTTGCTCAATAGATGGCTTGTCTGTATATGTGCTTGGGAATATAATAACTAGATGACGTTAGTGGTTCTCACAGCATATCCACGGAGTGCATGGTGATAAGTGGGGTGAAGTGTCAGTCTTTTCATGGCTGTCCGTTTGCCCATTCGTCTGTGCTTCTGTTCATCAGTCAATCTGTGCCCTGTCTCTGCTTCCGTTTGTTTGTGCTTCCGTTCGTTCGTGCTTCTGTCCATTCGTACTTCCGTCCGTTCGTGCTTCTGTCCGTGCGTGCTGTCCATCCGTCTGTCCGTGTGCTTCCGTCGATCCGTGTGTCTGTCTGTACGTACGTGCTTTCATCTATCTGTCTATCCATCAGTCTGTCCATGCATTCATCCTTGCTTCTGTTTTACAGGATGCTTTACCGCACTCATCATCGTTCACTCCGTGGATATGCTGCGATTTTTATAGAGGGGCGGGTATTCAAACAAAACTAAAAACATTAGTGCGATTTGGCGCTAGAAAAAAAAAAAAAGAAACATGAGCACTTGCAGAAAAAGCTGTCAAGAAAAACATTTACCTACAATTAGTGAAAATGAGTCGTTATGTCACTTGGCATAAACTTGGCTTGAAAAAAGAAAGAACCATTCATTCACAGTGAAATAGGCATCATGTGACGGCCCTGTGACATCATTATGACACCACCAATTTTGTTATGTGGTGATGATTCTTTGCATCACGTGCTCCCGGTTACACGAGACACCTTTGATGCGGGACGCTGACAGTCATATTTTGTGTTTAATGAGGCATGTAAGGCTTTTGTGTAAATGGTAAGTACGCTTGTAATATTGCAGAGAAGCAAAATTTCTCATTTCAGTTTCTTAAGATTGTGTTGTTAAATCTGTGATTTTTTAGTGTCATGTCTATAGAAGATAAATTTATGGAATCAAGGAGGAAGCTGTTGCGACCTGACAGACTCCTCCTTTGCCACCCAGTATTCAAATATCAGCACTTTAAACCCCTGCTTTCATTGCAGGCATCTGAGCACTTTCGTCAGCTATGCAAAGCGTGGTCGTCTGCTTGTCTTCCCGAACGTTCTGTCGCCGGCGCCGCTAGGTGACTTTCAGTGGCACCTCTATAGGGGCTACACTAGGCGTATAGTGTATATTTTTTGCCACTTAAGGGTTTGGTTCCAGTGCAAGAGCTTTCCAAGAAGGCGTGATGGTCATGGAATCTGCTTTTATGACCATGGCAAGTCTGGGAATTTGGAAAAATCAAATTGGTAGACACCCTAATAATGCAGTTTGAAAAACAATAAAGAGCACTATTTTTGTTTAGGGCAACTAGTGCTTTTTTTCTCTTCGCATTGCCTTACATAAGCATTGAGTTCTAGTATCACTAGTCCTTGAAATGCTCTTTTGAGGCTGAGTCAGCATTTCATGCTTTTTCCAGCAGTCGTCAGCTCTAGAATGGCCTAGAAAAAGGACCATCACCAAATTGTGCAAACATGGGTTAGGAATTTAATTTCTTGCTTGCTATGGCGCTCCCATAGCAAGTGGGCTGGTTCCTTGTTCACATTGAACAAACATGGCTGCATGGCGTGGGGTTTTGACACTTGCTTTTAAACCAGGATATAAATCTTGTGAAAGAACTTTTCTCTTCACTATTTCTTCGGTGTGCTGAGGAGGGTTTTTTTGAGCATCAGCTTTACAGGTGAGTCAGTACAAACTTGGCTTGAAAAAAGAAAAAAACTGTGGTACGGCTCAAGCCTTGTCTGCTGTAGTGGCCTTATCATGGCATCATGCACTCATGTTGCCCTTTTACATAAAGGGTCTACACGCATCAATCCTGCCGCTACTTGCGGCCGCAGATGGTTCATATTTTGGGAAATGTATATTATACGAGTGGCGATGGTTCCCAGATGCTGCATCAAAAATTGCATGTTAAAGCTTTTCATGGCACACTTAAAACAGCACTGAGACAGGTTCCATGCACCAAAAGTATAAACATAGTGCGTACTGGTTTGCCAAAGAACACTCTGCGAGTAAAAAGGGAACAAACTGTTTCTTCAATTATCTGAATGGCTCGAGGTGCACTTAGCCTTTGTCTTAGTGTGCATTCTTTTCATGATTTTTAGAAAAACTTTATGGCTTTCTTTATTCTTTAGTTTCAAGTGTCAAGGGTAAGTGAAAATGGCCATGTTGAAAACTAGCACATTAACTGTGATCCACTTGACTCATTTCCTGTGTGACTGTGAATTGTTCTTGAATTGACATAAGTAGTCTTCAAAACAGTAGTGAAATATTTTTTTATGGTGTTTCAGCTCCAGGGCAAGTACCTGCTGCCACCCGTGCGGCATCAGGATATTCGCAAGATATGCCTCATCATTGACCTCGATGAGACATTGGTCCATAGCTCATTCAAGCCCATCAACAATGCTGACTTCGTGGTGCCTGTAGAGATAGATGGCACGGTGCACCAGGTGTATGTCTTGAAGAGGCCTTATGTGGACGAGTTCTTGCAGCGAGTTGGCGATGCCTACGAATGTGTCTTATTCACAGCCAGCCTTGCAAAGGTATGCCTGTTCGTAGGGGCAGTTTTTTCTTTTTCTTCTTTTTGTAATAGCTCGGATGTCTGGCTATAGTGATCCTGGTGTCCCACTATTCTGGCAAGGTGAAACGCTGTGCATAAATCTTTCATTTTATTGCACTAAACCAGCCATGCACACGCTCCTTTATTAAGGAGAGCATATTGATGGAGTCTAAAAAAGAAGCTTCGCAATGAATGTTAATTAGGTGGCCTTTGGCTTGTGGTATGTTCTTTGTCGGAAACCTACATGGTTATTACCCTAACAAGTGCCTACAGAGTGCCTGCTATATGTGCGGGTCGAGGATTTGTTTTTCTTAACTCCGTGCATATGAAACTGCAGCAAATTCTTACTGCAAGAGGGTTGTAGAACAGAGGAAGATGGAAGCTCGAATAAAGGAGTGAACACAGTGTCTTGCTGCGGCTTCGATAAGTGGGCTTGTCTTCGAAGGTGCAGCTTCGAAGAACAAAGATGCGCATGTCGATACTTTGGCTCTAGCAGCACCCTGTGTTCATGAATTTTTCATCTAAACTCAAACCTCGTTATAACGAAGTTGAAGGAGAGCCACATTTATTGTTTTCTTTATTTCGTTATATAGATTATAACAGTTTGTGGCAATGTATACTCAGATGGGCGCACACCTATAAGCATGCAAAGAAAGAAATCATGTCGTGGCCCGATGTACCACTACGCAACCACGCGTGCGACGGAAAATAAACACAGTCGAATCTCCTTAATTCGAACACGCTTAATTCGAACTTCCGGTTAATTCGAACTCGCGCTGTGGTCCCGTCAAAGCTATGTGTATTCCAATGGGTGAAGATGTCCAGCAATTCGAACGCACAAGCACTTGCGACGGTTAATTCGAACATACTGTGCTCCGAAAATGCTAAATGCTCTCAGCACCATGCCCAATCCGATGACAGCACCTCTCAACGCTGCGCGTGAAGAAGGAAAAGAAGAAAAGGAAAGAAAAGATTGTGGCGGATTGTTTGTTCTCTCTCAAATGCCAATCTGCGGCACACCTGTGCCAAGCTTCTTCCTTTTCCGTCTCTGTAGTAGAGACACTTCTCCTTTCAAGGCCACACTCAAAGAGAGAGAAAAAAAGAAAGTTGTCACGGAGAGTGGCTCCCTGTTCATGCCGATCTGCTTCTCTTCGCGTGGAGACGCAGTCTTTTTTAGGTGTAGAGGGTAGCAGGGGAGACGCAGTCGTTGCCGTCGTCTTCAGAGAGTGTTAGCTGGACTTAGCCGCACGCTGCTATGCCTTGCAAAGTGCATGTGAAATCGATTGACTCGCTGCAAGGCAAACGTGTGCAGACACGCATCACCGATTACTTCAATTAATGGCAGATGTCCTCTGATTTGTGAATAAATGTAAGTCTTCTGAAGCTTCCGCATCGTGTGTTCTTAAGTGAGAGGGAAATCGTTCTGTACAGCGGCGCCGCTTCTCGGTCATGTGACCCGCTGAATACTTCTTCAATCCTCTGTGCTGGCTGTTTGAGGAAGACTGCTCTCTCTGCCGCGCATGGCTTGGTTGTAAGGTCAGCGCGGGAGTTTTGAAAGAGCCGCGCCGAACGAATGTCAAACTCCACAGAAAACGATATACTTAATGCACAATAGTCGGTTTTTTTTTTTTATAGATTATTTAATTGATAATTCAGTTCATTATATCCATTTACTGGTCATTCCGTTACAAGGTTTAAAATGCATAGTTCCCAATAGAGCTTTCAAGGGCAATTTCATTTACTTCGTTATATCTATTATTTCGTTATATCCCACTGTATTATAACGAGGTTTGAGTGTATTCTGTGATTGAAAAGATTTGGTTATTTTTGCTATGTTTGCTTGGTTGCATACCATACTATGTTCTTAGATTCCTTAAGTAAATTCTTCACTCTTTAGAAGAAATGCAACACACAGGCTCATTCAATCCAGCCTTCACTGTATTTATTACCAGCTGCTGTATGCTGCAGCTTTCATTTCTTTGAATTGATTGTGATTCATTCTGCAGCTGAATGTCATTTTACAAATTGCATCCAATGCTCACGTCTTATGCTGTCGTAAACACTGACTCTGCAATAGGTTACCATTGAGTTTAGTCTCCATCACAGTGTCTGTGGGCTTGGTTGCCTTTTATGGCAGTGGTATCTTGAAGAATGAAAGGCTGGGAACACATAAGGGCTCATTTTTTAAAGCACAAAATCAGAACTAATAGATTAGAAAGGTATAGAGAATGTTATTTGTAGCAATTACAATGTAAATGTGACGTCACATGCTTTGTGACACCAGCAGGCAGAAAAAGTACACTAGCTGTCATGTCATCTAGCAGCACTGACACTCCCAGGTATGTACTGCCTAACGATGACAGTCACTGCAGCTCAGTTGGTAAAGCATTGGACGCATTATTCGAGGTTGGTTCCCTGCCAGTGGCAAGTTATTTTTTCGTCCATTTTACTTTCTCATAACTACTCCTATGCTGGCCAACAGAGGCATGTTCTGATCAGAAATTTTTCTCTCTCATATGAGATGTCTCTTATAAGGAGGGTACTTTGTATGTATGCATTTTAGTATCAACCCATATTTTACTCTGGTGCCTAATACCCATTTGTCTCTATCTTCTGCCTCTTATAAAGAGACTGTATTAACATTCTCTATACTTTCATTGGCTTTCTCGTCTGTTTTAATTGAAGGGGTATGTCAAAGCATTTCAAAGGCGATGTGAGCAAGCACAAAGGCCTGTACTAAGAATGACTTTTGGATATGCTATCCTGAGTAATTTTCTGTGCGAGTGTTTAACACACCTTCATGCAGTTGTGTAATGGATTGAGCTTGCCCGACTCCTCAGTGTTTTTAGAGTATTGCAGCTACTCGTTCCAGTGCGATTGGCGCCATTCACTGGCAGATTTATTCAACTGAGAGCCTTGCTTGTGAGTGTCGTACAGAAGCAGACTGACAAATGAGCACTGGCACAATGGGTTCCATGACTTTTTTTTGTTGTGAACAGGGTTGTGTGTTGCCACTATGATGCTCTACAACTTTCTCTGGCAATGAGCGAAAGTGTAATTACCAGTTACATTAAAGTGCTATGCAATTTTTGTCAGTAATTTCTTTGCCATGTCTGAGTGATGACCTTTTCATCGAAACTAAGTGGCTGTACTATTTCACCAATGTGACAATATGAACATTAGGTGGTCAAAATTTCCGGAGCCCTCCACTACGGCGTCTCTCATAATCAAATGGTGGTTTTGGGACGTTAAACCCCACAAATGAATGAAACAATATGAACATTAAATCATGCCAAACATGTTTCCTTCAAGCTGGTTGCCTTGTGGTAAAAATACAATATTTATTCGCATAATTGACCCACTTTTTTCCCCACAAAATCTGGCACCAAGTTCGGGGTGCACCTAGTATGTGGTATTAAATTTTCGAAAATTTCATTTATGACTAGTACAGCATAAACTGCTGATAATGTAAGTCGCCGAAGTCATGAATTCAGTGCAAAACGTGTTGATCATGCAGTCTCACGTGTCTAATAATCGAGGCTTGCAATGCAGTGGTCTTAAATTCAAATTTCCAAATATTAAGATAGAAGATCCGCGTTGCCAACAAAATGAATGAAAAAGAAAAAAAACTACTGAAAGAAAGCATCATCCCTGAAATTCGTCGATTACGTTTGAGGCCATTTTGATAATGTCCATTATCACGACCAAAATTTTGTTCGCTGAATGATACTGATTGTTGATTTCACAGGCTCGCACACCTCATATCTGAAGACATTGCAATCGAATCGCAAAGGACTATTCGAGTGTTAAAAGTGCTATCCATGCCCCCTTTCCTTCAAGTAGAGCCACTGCAAACAGCTACATTGATTCTGTACAAAACTTCTTTCTGATTGCCCACGGCTGCTTCTGAAAGGCAACCAATGCTAATTAGGCCTAGCATATGATTTGGCATGTTGTCGCGGAAACGTCAACATAAAGATTGGGCATCGAAAAGATTGCACTCAAGCTTTGTTCTAAGAGTTGCGTGTGGGACTCAATGTTTAGGTTTGCGGCCCGGAAATCAACGGCGACAAAAGTCTTCTAAGCTTGTGACAGTCCACAAAGTGAAAGTCCGCATAGTGGCAGCAAAGGCGAAAGCTCGTGCCGGAAAGCCAACTAGCTTTTAAATTTGCGAAGGTAGCTAACACAACAAGATGATGCTTATCACGACAGAAAACTCGAAGCGCACTTGATGATGATAGGATCGCATGTTCCATTTGGAGCATGCGCAGCCAGTGCCACGCCGGCGCTGATGTAAAGGCTACTGCGACGCCTAGGCAACCGCCCCCCCCCCCCCCTTTTTTTTTTTTTTTTCACTTGACGAGTCCTTACTGCACGTATGCAATAGCTGGCCCAAGCACCGACAGAACGTGCTCACGCGCTAGTGCATTCCAGCCTGCGTGACATGCTGTGTAAAAGGCTGTGGCCTCTCCTCCTTACACTCTATCACCAATGAAATGATGGCATCCGAGAAGGAGATTCTGCAGTCGCGCGATAAATGCACGTGCTCCTGTGTGGCGTGCTCCAACAAGAATTCGGGATGAGTTACAGCAACAGAAACTGCAGTGAACTCCTGTTGTGCTCTACTTGCAAGCATGCGTTAAGGTGCTCGCATAAACTGAACTTTAAAGGGCCACTCACCAGCTTTGATGATTTCGAGCTGATAAGCGCAATGCGTAGATGAGGCTTTCATGATCACGTCTGCCAAAATTTGCAACTATACGCCCCACGGAAATGGGTCAAATTTTAAGCTGAACGCTGCTCCATTTTCCTTTTGCGGGCGCGCGCCCGATGAATGAGGGCATGACGTGCGCGTATGAATGGCCCTACATACACGGCAATGCAGCGACGTTGGTCCTCTACGAAGACAACCGTGCTCTGACGTTGCCAACAGTGGCACATGACGTTATGAGAATAATTTAACACGACATGCATTGTTTATGT